AACATGCCTTAAAATGCAAGATTATGTAAATGATCTCTTCACAGCACCCACATCCTTTTCAGACAAGTGGTGTAATAACTTCCCCTGTGTGCTTCCACATTTTTCTTTGTCATTTAAAACATAATACAGTCAAAAACATAATGATTGAGACAGAGAAAGAGATGATGGCCACTGCAAAAAAAAATAAATAAAAAAAACCCAACTTTTTAAAAAAATGTCTTTTTCAGTAGGGATTTTTTAATGGTTATTACCATATGTTGATCCATTCGTCACTGTTGTTGCTTTGTTTCAGCTTCCTCTTGTTCGAGAAGGTGGAGCTTAGTGGAGTTCTTCTTGGTTTCATTAATAGGCAGCCATCTACACCCAGAGGTGTTTTGTAGGTTGTCATGGTTCGTCGCTTCACTGCAGACTCCCTGTAGTGTCTGCTGCCAGTGTAGAAGATGACTGGCCCCCAGCTCCTGGCTTCTTTCTGGACTCTCTGGTCTGTCACCCTCATTGGTTTTGGTAAGTTCAACATGATGCTCCATCTCCAGATTCTGTTGTGATTTTGTAGTAATGACATAGGGATTTAATGTCACATAAAATCTCAAATACAATAATATAAATAAATCTGATTGTCCTCGGACAAAACTAGGATTCTCCTTCTTTCTCATACTTCAAATGTTTTCACTTCAACTCCAACATCACAGTTTTCAAATCACTAACAAACATGGGATTTATTTTTACATATTTATTTATTTTTTATACTAATAATACTGCAAATTATTATTATTAAAACAACATAGTATTTAAGGTTTCTGGGCAAGAAATTCTGTCAAAGTCAAAAAGTTCGAAGACACTAATTTGAAAAGAAGTTGGATTTGAGTGACTAAGTCACATGAAAAAAATATTTTTCCCACCTACTGGCACGACTTTCCTAACGAGGCAGTTTTGAGATGAGATGAAATTACATTTACAATAAAATAAATGTAAATAAATTAAAAAATGTATTACAAATTAAAAATGTGCCTTTTATTTTTAAAGAATATATCTATTAAACACATTTTTTAAGTTGCCTTTAAAATATATATTTTTAAAAAGTGCCGTTACACCAGTTAAAACATATTAGATTTGTCTAAAAGGCCGACGGTGGATCATGTGTAACACACAGGCTTTTTTTTTATCTTATCCAGTGCACAGTGACATCCAGTTCCTGGAGAGACATGAAGGAGAATCTGTAGTTCTGCCTTGTGTCGTTGAACAAACCAACCCTGCTCCTTTTGCTGTTGCCCTGGAACGCAGCTGGCTTCAGAACACGAAGGTCATGTTCATGCACACCCAGGAGGACTTCAGCACGGACAGTGATGATGACCAGAGGCGCTTCAGTGTCAGTGGAGACCCCAGCGTCAGGGAGGTGAACGTGACCCTGTCTGAGCTGAAGGTCACAGACACAGACAGATACTACTGTACGTTTTACATCTACAACCCGACCTCCACTGACCTACGTATCCGTGGAACCACAGAGTTCTTCCTCCTGGTTACTGCTGGTGGGTGTTTTTTGTCTTTTTAATTTTATGTACTATGTTTATATATTTCTGCCTGTTGGTAGGACACTGACCCTGACCCTAACCCTGACCCTAACTCTGACCCTGACCCTATTTTCATATTTCTGCCTTTGTTGGCTGTTTGTTGTAATCTGACCCTGTGATGAAGGGTGGCCCTGACTCTTACCTGTTGACTGTAGCGTCAATCAGGTGAGACCACCACAACTAAATATGGACTAAATTTAGAGCAGAAGTGAAACTTCAAAATATCATTTGTTCCAGTTCTGCTCAGCCATCACTGAAAGCAGTGTTTCTTTAAACTCACAAAATCAAAACAGAAAATGTAAAAATTATAAAAGAAAATGGGGCGTCTTCTTTCTGAATACGGTTGTTTTCAAAGGTTTTTCATATTTCTGAATGAATGCCTTCAGTCCATTACTCAGTCTCTATTTCCTTTCCCCTCTGGAGACGCTCCCGGGTCACTGGACATGGGGCTGGTGGAGACATGTGTCGGGGGATCGGCTGTTCTCCCCTGTCTGCCTGTGAACCACGAGGGCCTGGCAGTGGAGGGGGTCAGTCTGAAACGGCAGCAGGGCCAGGCTCCTGTGGAGATGTTGTACCACTCACAGCATCAGCACGGCAGCACTTCATCTTTGTCCTCCACTTGGCTTCCGCCCGACAGGGTCCAGCTGTCCACGGAGCCTGGCCCCAGAGGCATCGCCTACAGCCTCACGCTGCAGCAGCTGCAGGCGGAGGATAGTGGCCTGTACAGCTGTCAGCTGCTGCTGCACGGCAGATCTGAGACCAGCTCCAGTCTGGGCAGACAAGTGTTCTTTGTGTCAGTGAAAGGTGGGTGAAAAACAAAGCAGGACCAGAGGGTCACACCTTACTGTGGACGGTGGCGGTTGAAGCCCTGGTGGACAGCAGACTGCGGTCACATGGTGTAGCTGTTGTTCAAATCACTGAGGATCTTGATTTTTCCCTGTGAAAATAAAATCAACACAGGCCGCATGGTGGGCGGGCAGTTAGTGTTCTTGCCTTACAGCATGATGGTCACAGGTTTGATACTGATGTATGGAGTTTGCATGTTCTACCTGTGTGTGGGGGGCGGGCGTGTTTCTCCATGTACTCTGGTTTCCTCCCACTGTCCAAAAACATACAGGATTAGGGTGAATTATTTACACTTCATTGATTATTTGGTGTGAATGTGAGTGTGAATACTCATCTCTATACGACTGTCCAGGGACAACCCGCCTTCGCCCAGTGACTGTTGGGAGTGACTGCAGTGTCTTTAGTGACACTGAAAAATACCACGCAGTGGCAGAAAAATACTACAGTGTTTGTGTCCTCCTCCTCATCATTTCTCTCCTCCTCTTCCACAGATGATACCTGCAGCTGCTCCACTTACTCCACCCTGCTTTACGCCCTCTCCTCAGCTACAGTGCTCCTCCTCCTCCTCCTCCTCTCCATCGGGTCTGTGGTGATTTGTAAGGTCAGTTAACATTTGACACGGGGTTCAGCGACCTGGTTGTTGCCTGGGGGTGGATACTGAAGCACAGCTTTTCTGTGAACACCTGCTTGTCAAAAGCGTGTCAGTGATGTTCCTCTGCTGCTAACCACAAAACCGCAGCAGTTTCATAACCGCCTGTCAGCTGTCAGCATGTTTTCCTTAAACGTTCACAGAGGAAGGTAGTGAAACCTGCATACTACTTCACACTTGACTGACTTCACACTGTGTCTGTATCACATGCCTCTGAGCTAACAGGATGGTGTGAGAAAACTATTCAAAAAAAATAAAAAATATTCAGCCACACAGGAAATTGCACCTCATTTGTACCCAGCACTGATTTGTTCTCCTCTCTTTTTTTTATCACTGTCAGGGCAGAAAAGGCATCCGCCAAGAAGTGAGGTCACTGTCCCCAGGCCCTATTTACGAGGAGATGGTCGCCATGAAACCCCAGAGCCCAAAACCGGCCTTCAAACAACTGGAGGAAGCGGAATCTTCTGAGTACAGGAACTGCTCTGTGAACAAATCCTGCCCTCAGAACCATTACGAAATCCCGACCGGGGTCCGAGGACCCAGGATGTAGACTCAGAAACAACTACGCAACTTCCCCTTAGAGTTTGGACCATGACTGCACTCTTTCAGCAGACTTTTTTCAACCATATTCTAAGCATTTTTTTAAGTCAGCTGATAGCAGGCCCTGACGATAACTTAGAAGTTGTCGTTGGGTCAACTTTTATTTATCTTATTGTACATTTTAAGCTATTTTTTATGCCCTATTCCCACATACTTATTTTGGTATTTTTTTAAAAAATTGCTAGGTTGTGGTACATTGATTATATTTCCCTATCTTTAGCTCTTTTTACTTTAGTTAAGTACAGTTAAGTTTTTTTTTTAAGTTCTTTCAAGGAAAAAGGATCTCAAGCCTCTTGTTCAGTGTTGTAAACGATTTCCCTCAATTTCCTTTTGTTTAAAAGTTTAAAACTGGATTACGATTAAAGGTGCATTTATTTACATGAAAAACAAAGTAATTTTGTTTTGTTTTTCATACAAATGAGACCTAAAATTGCAGAAAATGTAGGTATATTAGCACATATTGTTTAAACCCAGCCAAAAAAAATTAACTAAACAGCTAAAAGTGGCTAAAAACATTGCGACATAGCTATAAAAATGAGCTGGCGGCTAACTCAAACATTTGCAATAAAAGCTAAAGTTAGCCGACAGTTGGTCACAGATGGATAAAATCACCATGAAAACAATTAAAATTAATTTCTAAACATATTTCTAAAATAGTTAGAAAAAAACAGCAGGACAGCTACCACCATGAGGCTAAAGGCAACACAAACATTTACAGGAGCTCAACTTGGTTAATACATTACTTAAAATTAAGATACAGTTGCCCCGGGAACATTTAAAAATGCCTCTTTACACAAGTAGAAATGTTTTACTTCATTTACGCCGCCTCATTGACTACTATTTTTTTTAAACGTATAACACTGCGTACATTTCACTGACGTGTAATTTCACAGCGCAAGTAGAGTTAAAAAGAATACTGTCGCCAAGTAACAGCCAAGAAAATTCGTATTTTATTAATATAGTCCGAAAGAAGCTCCATCAGAAATGGAAACATTTTTTTTCTGGTGCATGTCCTTAACAATCACATTCTATGAGGAGGAAAAAAAAGAACGACATTTAAAAGCCACAACTTTGTATTTGAGTTACAGACATTATTCCTTAATGCTTTTTTTTTTTTCAAAGTAAAGAGAAAGGCAGAGTCCCCCCCCCCCCACCCCCCTCACCCCTCACAGCCCCTCCCTTACAAAGAGACAGCCTTGAAAGTCATGGGCTTTTTTTCAGTACAACCCACAGTGCTTTAGCAGAAGGACAAGCTCTCATTGGTTAAGGATTACACAGCATAACAACGCAATCTGAAGTGTTGCGACAACATTTGACTGACGGTGGTGACGATGACAGGGTTGGGAGGGGAGGATGGGGTGCATTGAGGAAGGGAGAGGGGGCTTAGGGGAAGTGGACATCTGAGCTAGAGACAAAAACAAGAACAACCTCACATTGAACCCTGAACCCCAGAGTGAGCCGACAAACAGCCACAGTTTACCGCAGCAGCCTGTGGACTCCTCCCTCCCGCTTGTGCATAGATCATGATCCTTTTTAGACAAAACAAAAAACGAAACAGCTTCAATTTCTCAACTTCAACAGCCCCTGCAAAACCAACCTTCTTCACATGAGGAAAATCTCTCAGCTACTGAAAACTTGTCGTTACAGACAGACGTGTTAACAGACAGGAGAGATGATTAAAAAAAACAAAAACAACCACAACTTCTTGCACGATGCTCCTAGTTGACACGATGGAAACTGAACAGCATCAAATACAACGAATGCATCTTTTTTGACAATCAAAAAACATCGATGTTGTTCAAATGTAAAGCATTTCCACTTAAGATTTCACATGTAAAGCACTCCACTTTTTCAAAGTTGATTCTCAGTCTTATTTGGTAAATATGTAAATTGCTACGAACATCATTGAATTTTAGTCATAAAAAAAAGAAAACAACGGTTCATTATATTCTGTTAATCCTTCAGTGCTTTCTTGGAGTTTCATTGTTTTCAGTTGCTTCTTTTTTTCCATATAAACATTAAAACTACAAATGAAGGAGTTGGGATCTGGAACCCTGGCCTTCCTGAGACAAAAATCCACATCTTTTATGAGTGTGCAAGAGAGTAAGCAAAGGACGGTGCTTACAGGAAAAACACAAAGTCACAACTGGGTACATACAGAAAGTCTGTGCACACGGTGGGAGAGGAAAACAAATGAACACTGAAGCATGACGCGACAAGGATCGATCCCAGAGTTCTGAAAGTAGCATAAAAACTTCCTTTTGCAAGATTTTTCATGTCCGTACATTTGATGGAAGATGAGAATTTTGACCTCTTTATGCAACATTCCTGGTATAAACTCCTATATCCGTTGTACTTCAGACAAATGAAATGCTTGTAAACGACGTGTGGCTTTTTGCACAAAAGTGAACAGAAAATATAGGCACCTCTGAAATGAGTCTTTGAACAAACTCTTCTCCAACAGTTGTATCCCTTTCCATTTCCACGTGAAGTTAACACAGGGATTACTAGTGCTTCTACAGCTATCTATGGCAACAGTTCTTTTTTTTTTAAACCCCTATTTTCTGCTTTTGTAATTTTTTTTTTTTTTACATTTTTTTGTAATTTTTTTCTCCTTTTCTGTAAAGGTGGAACAAAATGGTGCAATACCCAATGACAAACCTTGTACTGGATTATTCCACAATAAAAGCCACTATAAGGTAGATAATTTTTTTTACAGAAATAAAAACAAAGATCCATTAAGTCCTTGAGTAAACATGTACACATGAATTGTCACCATCTCCCCTCCATACTTGGAGTCGTTTCTCTACGATTAGCTGTGTGAGGGGTCGAAGACACTCAGTGCAACGTTAGAAGATAATAACAACGTCCATTGGAACAGATTTGGACAGAACGACGGGGACAAACGAGGGTCGGGACAGATCAGACAGAATGCGAACAAAAACGGCGGGCGCCGGGCCCCACGCCGCATCTCACGCACACAATCATACACGCATTTCAAGCAGGCGTCCAAGACGACTTTTGCATTTTTCTGTCTATCAGATTTAATATTTGTAACTCAAAACATTTGTGATATTCTCTAAAAGCCTCTACGTATACATGTCAGATGGAGAACCAAAAAAAAAATCACTGACTTCACATTACGTTATTGGCGCCCCATGATTCAAGTATTTGCGTTCAACATTTCATTTTGTTTTGATATGTTAATGTGTTTTTTTTTTTCCATCATCTGGGTAAAATAATCATCAAACAGCTGATTCGGGCGGAGCTTCTTCTTCTTGACAGGGAAATTAACAACACAAACACATATTTACAGCACCAGCACTTCAAAGTACTGCAATATGCCTGTAAAATCAGAACGTGCATAACCAGCTCCTTAGGACAAAGATGCAGCTGTCAGTCAAATCAAGTATCACAAGTTTACACCCCCAGACCAAATTTATTCTCCTTTTGTGTCACTTATTTGCGGGGAAAATACATATTGCTTTTTTTTTCTTTTTTTTCTTCTTCTCTGTTGTGTTGAAACAAAGACCTTTCTTTCAAACGAAAACGTTTCGGAGGTTACGATCCAAGAAGTCAGAGAGAGGTGGTGACGACACACCGTGATCATTGTCTACATATCGTTTATCTGTACTCTTTACATACATTATATACTGTTACGTCAAAGAGAGCTGTGGAGAGGAGAGCCCCTCAATGCTGGTGCAGCATGGGAAAAACCCCCTTCACTGTCAGGGTTCTCCAGTTAGTACAGGATGCTGGGAGGTCCTCGGCTATTGGGTCTGTCTGAGCTTGGATCAAGGCAGTTACAGAAACAGGCATTAGTGATTTTTGCTTGTGTGCTGCAGGACTGCGAGCCCTGAAAGGTAGCCTTTTCCCGTTTTCTTCTTTATTGGTATTCTTTTTTTTTTTTCGTCATGTTTCTTTAAGACTTTGTACCTCTTGAAATGTGCCGCTCCCCCCTTGCTGATGCAGAGTGAGGGGAGTCAGGCTGATACAGTGGGCCCAAGCCATCTGGGTCTGTGGAAATGTACAGTTCAGTGGGTCCCGCTTTGAGCGGGACACAAACATTAAAACAAAGATAAATACAGCATCCACAAAAAGGCACCCCGGCCACTCGTCTACTCCTTTAGATGGTGGTAGTAGACGCTGAGGACCGGAGATGTTTCAGCTATAAGTGCAGAGCTTTAACATATTATAGATCTTTTTTTTTTTTTCATTTAGATTTTTTAAGCATTTTTTAAGATTTTTATGTCAAACTTCATAAAAATGACGTTTAAATGCAATTTCATTTTTGGTTTTAAAAAAATATGTACCCGGGATTACCCATCAGCAACTGTGCACTGTAGCAAACTGGAACCCCCAACTGAGTAGATTTTCTCCTTAGCATGAGGCATTCCCCATAAAAGCATAAAAAAAAAAAAATCTCAGTCATTTCAGGGTGGGATGCTGTCGTCCATGTGTTTGATCCCTCCTGTCCCCCTCTGAACCCTCTGCTAAGGTTATCAAACTCCTCCAATGAGGGAACAGAAGTGCTGTCTTCTAAGACACAGTATGACAAAACAGTTTTTTTTATCTCATTGGCACATTATGTTGGCATATTTAACAGGCAATAACAGGCCTCCAGGTAGAATCTACAGGCCACCATTGGAGGAAATGGTCTGAATACGCCTTTCCCCCTTCCAATTAGGATTAAGACAAAGGCATGAGGTCTGTACATACTGCTGCACGAATGGCCGTTTTGAATTTAAGACTTTGCTCTCACAGTAGAAAGGACAGACACAGAGAGCTGCATCTCAAACTTAGTAAGTAACGTCAACTCCCCTACCCTGAGATCACGCTGGACAGAAACGTCTTCAGCACAGAGAGAAAAGGCCCTTCACTGTTGACGTTTTCACACTTTGTTAACGTGACAGTGTTGTGGCGGCGCGGCACGACTTTACAGAAACGTGTGGCCGTTCTGAGGTGCTGACAAGGAAAAAGCACGACGGGGGACGAGTGGTAGGGTTTGAGACGGATGCTCATTCCCAGGTCAGCCTCTAGTCTTTTGCATAGAAACAGATACGAGTGCCTGTTGGTGACTGGTCAAAGGGGGGGGGGCTACTGGGTCTAGTTAATGTGGAGGAGAAGGTTATAGCGTAGCAGCTAGGCAAAGGGCAAGGGGGGACAGCCTGCTGACAGGTGGAGCAGCTTGGAGCGACAAACACCCACACCCTGTATTTTTTAAAACACATCTTGAGATACTACCTGGAAGTACTACAGAATACTGTCAAACACCAAAGCATGATCAGTAAAAAAAAAACAAAACAAAACAAAACAAGAAAAAAAACAAACAAACAAAAAAACCCCAAAAACAAATAGACAATCAATAACAATCTGTAGTATTGATCCTCGTTTTGCATTCAATACACAGGATGAACATACAGAGGCACCTCTGACCAGAGTGTTTCTGCACATGAACAGTGAAGGGCTAATTCAGCGGCCACTATAGTGTAGACCACTGCATGTAGACAAACAGAACACACTGAACAGAATCAAGGTCATAATGACCTTTTTAAAACAAAAGTACACTGGCAAAAATTCCAGAAATACGACAATAACATCTTCCAGCTAAAGTGATCTTTGTGTCGAAAGAACTGAGAGATGGGGGCAGGACGGCAGCAGGGTGGAGCAGTGGTGGGCCGTCCGTGGCAGGTAGCCATGATTTTTCCAGTTGGAGGAGATGCTTACTTGTCGACCTGGGGTAGACACTTGACCACCCAGAGGAGCAGGATGGAGACGCGCTCGGCGGACACTCCACCTCCTCCACCCCGCTCTTACTCACCCACTGACTGACCGACCGGCTGAGTGGCCATCAGGTGTCAGAGACAGCTGATGTTGCGAGTCTAGTGCCTCCAAAGAGAACAAGGCTAAACATTTGGAGTAACAGTGATATCCACTTTGATAAAGTTCAAAGAAGAGGGAGGAAAACATCAAACTGTGGTTTTTTCCTCCCAGAAGTCCAATGATACATTTTTAGTTTCCCTTCAACCTGCTACCAGAGGAACAATGTCCGTCACATTTCCAAGAAATGGATACAGTACAGAAGAGCAGAAGTTTTTGTCGTTGAAGTTTTTGCTGCTGCTCTTTTTTTTTTTGATTTATTGGATTGCAGTTGAAGCCATTTTGCTCCTTGTAAGTGCTATGATAAAACCCTTTGAATTGATAAAAGTCTCATTTGTTTATACAGTACCAAATGCAAGGAACACTCGTAGGTCTACTGCATTAGGAGAAACTCCCTCTTATTTGGTTTTGTGCCAGATACCCAGAACCGTCCAATCCCGCTGTGGATTCAGTCTCTGTTGGGTGTGGCTGTGGCACGCAGAGAGGAAGTGTGCATCGCTCCTGTACGCTGTTTCACTCTTCTGTACAGTTCGCTGCGAGCACTCTTCAAAAGCTGTTTCTTCCTCTTTGCAAAGTTTTCCCAACAGTATCCAGGGGTATTGGCAGCCTGGAGGGAATCCAAATTATGAAAAGGGGGCTGCGGGGGGAAGAGGGGAGTAAAGGTGTTTTGAGTTCCTTTTGCTGCAAAAAGCAACAGTGAAAAAAGAGGGATAGAAGTTTCATGAGAAACCAGCTCCAATGGACATCAGGTGTGGACGGAAGTCAAGTCTCTGGTGTATATTGCACAATGAACTGTCAAGCAAAGGTGAAAATTGGTAGTTTTCTCCCCCCGCTTCCCGAAAAACTGGCTGATCACACAAAGCGCTGGGCTTCACAACAAACGACGATAAAAAAAAGGTCAAAGGTGACCAGATGAAAACTTGCAGGTGTCAATGATTGGGTGCCACTGGACACAGAGAGTCATGTATGACAACGGAGACACAACAATCTCAGCTTATAGGACGTGACGGATATCAAAAATTGCGCTTGGATCTGAGTCTTCAAGAAAGAACAAGAGAAAAATGAAAAGCTGAGCAATCCCTTTGAGAAGACAAATTAAATAGTTAAGCTCATGATTGGTAGGGCCAGTCACATGGCCAGGCCTTCTAACTGCCCAGTGACAGAGGTGGTCTCCAATCGTGTCCTGTACCACTTGCTGGCTCAGAGGTGAAAGTGTGCAAGACTTCAGCTGTTTCTTCAGATACAAAACAAACGGAAAAAGGTGGCATGAGAAAGACCCGGGCCAGAGAGCACTTAAGGCTAATATTAGTGCTGTGAAATCAATGTCAACAGAAAATAATGTAACAGTTTCTGAACCAGAGCGTTGGCCATGGGCATGCTGGGAATGGTTGTGTTAAAGTCTTGTTTTGGGATGATTTCTCTTTTCATTTGGAGGGAAAGTCTCAGATGGCAGCTTTGATTGCTTCTCCTAAACACACTTCACAAACAAGGTCATGTATATACTAATGCAAAAAACACAATTTAAAAAATACTTAAAAGGTTTCATTGTGTTATGTCTCATTTCAGTTTGTTTGATATTTTGAAAAATACCCAATGGAGAAAAAAATGCTGTTTTTTTTCATTGAAAGAAATGAACTAAAGAAAAATAAAACGAAAGTAAAACAGAAGGAGTGGAGTCTGCAGTCTGTTGTAGTGACTCCTTTACCCTCTGAATTACAAAATTCACAGTTCAAAATAGTTTTCAAATGATACTGATTATCACCACATGATTTGCTTGGGTTTTGCTCCTGTTCTTATTCTTTTCTTTGCTTGTTTTTTTTTTTGTTTTCATCCTACCTACCACCGTTGGCTTCAGTGACACGGTGTTGGTCGGTTGTTAGTGTGAGGTGGCATCATCCTACATGGACTCCCCACTCAGTAGATCTCCAGGCAGCAGGGTGTTGATGGGGGTTGGGCTCCCGATTACACGGGCGTCATCTCCACTGGGCGGACCCCACAGGCTGGAGTATTGCGGCACCCCACCCCATAGCAGGTCGCCGCCGCTGGCCTTTCCTCCGCCGCCGCTGCTCCATTGGCCAATGGAGTGGGACTGCGCAGCCCCTCCCATTCGATTCTGATTGGTTCCTGGGTTGGCCTGCCAGCTAGTGGTGTTTGCCCCTAGTGACTGACCTTGTGCAAAGAAGCGGGTCACCTCTTCCTCTCCGGCAAACTCTGCCAGAATAGTGGTGTTTCCAAGCACACACCTGACAGGAAAAACAGTAAATATATCAGCCTCAAAAAAATTAAATTATTATTATTATTAGTAGTAGTAGTAGTAGTAGTAGTAGTAATAGTAGTATATCTTGGTTCTGCTGTGTCTTACATGTGCAGAGACTTCTGGGCTTTGGCTGCTTCGTCCTTAGAGCTGTAGCGTACCACGGCGTTCCCCTGTGTCAGGTTGAGGTGGAATGTGATGAGGGGGCCATGCTGCATGCACAGGGTCCGCAGAGTTGAGCCATCAATCTAAAACACAGAAGTAAAACATTGTTACAACTATAATTCTTTTTTTCTTCTAATATTACACCTAGAAGGGAAATTTAATTGCATGTTTGCAGTAACACAAAGTACAAACTTGTGGTGTCAGATTCCTCAGCACCAGCCAGCTGCTGGTTCTGGTGGAGCTATCAGTACTCCAGGTCGTTCCCTCTGCAAAGCAAAGAAAGAAAGTTATTTTTTTCCAACTGTGTCAGTGAACCAAATTAAAACAAAAACTTGTTTTCAAAAAGTAAGCAAGAGCATGTATGTGACACTAAAAGCCTGTGGTCAGGTTTTAAAAATGGGGGTCAAAATAAATGCGGTAGGTTCACTGACATGTTTTTGTTCTAGACACTGCTTTACTTCTCTGAATTGTTTGTTCTGTCAAAACAGGGTCACACAAAGACTTGACAGTGTGAATGTTTGAGAGCCAGTAAACCACAAACTGTCAGTTTAACAGCGGTTAACACACCCTGCAAACACGGTCCTCACCTACACTACACTACAGCAGAAGGAGTAAGGTTTAACAGAGAACCTGAAATTTGTTATCTCTTCAATGTCATTCTGAAGAAACTTTTCTTTCCGGAGAGTTATTCAGAAAATTATTGGTATAGTATTATACTGTGATCAAAAGTTGGCGTACCAAAAAAGTATGTTTTTTCTGAATTTTAACAACAACAATTGACATAGCTAAGTATTTTAAGGCAAATGAGTGCATTTTTAGTCATTTTTGAGAAACTTTTTTTTCCGGAGATTACTTCAGGAAATTATAGGTATAGTATTATACTGTGATCAAAAGGTGACAAACCAAAAAAGTATATTTTTTCTGAAATTTAACAACAAAAATGGACATAGCTAAGTATTTTAAGG